GGTTTAAAAAATTTAACTAATCACATGTGATTATCAGGTTGATCCATTTAGTAACATGACAAGTTGTAAGTAATTTCAGAATGTGATTTTTTTTAAATGTCCAAAATGGCCCTGAATGCATCTGAGAACATGTACAACTAGAGTTTTTGGGGACTGCCTATGCCCCCAAACCACTAGCTAATAGTTTTGTTTCATTCAAAGTCATCATAGGACACTTTCACATGTGTAAGCCAGTAGTCATGACACATGACTTTTACTAGCTACTCTGAAGAGATTATTCTTATTAGTCTCACAGAGTTTAGTTACTAAACTAGTTGCAATGAGATTTGATTTTAACTTTAATCTGAAGATCATCCTATCAGTCTGAAAGAGGTTAATAATCTAGTAGTCATGAGATTTAATTTTTACTTTAATTTGAAGATTAATAGAACCTATGGATTTAAGTCAGTAACCTATCAGCCATAATATTTTATTTTTACTTTAATTTAAAGATTAATGGAACCTATGAAGGTAAGTCAGTAACCTATTAGCCATAATATTTTATTTTTACTTTAATTTGAAGATTAATGGAAGCTATGGAGGTAAGTCGATAACCTATCAGCTATAATATTTTATTTTAATTTGAAGATCAATGGAACCCATGGAGGTATATCGGTAACCTATTAGCCATAAGATGTGATTTTTACTGACACTTTTGAAGATTACTGTAATTATTTGTAAGGAGATAAGTTGGTTTGTTTATGTCAATAATGCTTAAGCTACTCACTTGACAATACCAGGTTTTTGAACAGCCCACAGATATCTAGTTATTTCTTTAAAAGCTGTTAGAGGTGATTTTAAACTCTCATCTGTTGAAATCTCTATTCAACAGATGAGAGTTTAATGTCACAATGTCACTAGAGATTAGAGACTTCAACAGATGAGTAGTTTAATGTCACTAGAGACTTCAACAGATGAGAGTTTAATGTCACTAGAGACTTCAACAGATGAGAGTTTAATGTCACTAGAAACTTCAACAGATGAGAGTTTTTCAACAGATGAGAGTTTAATGTCACGTCTAGTGACTTTAAGCTCTCAATTGTTGAAGTCTCTAGTGACTTTAAGCTCTCATCTGTTGAAGTTTCTAGTGACATTAAACTCTCATCTGTTGAAGTCTCTAGTGACATTAAACTCTCATCTGTTGAAGTCTCTAGTGACTTTAAACTCTCATCTGTTGAAGTCTCTAGTGACTTCAAGCTCTCATCTGTTGAAGTTTCTAGTGACTTTATACTGTCATCTGTTGAAGTTTCTAGTGACTTTATACTGTCATCTGTTGAAGTTTCTAGTGACATTAAACTCTCATCTGTTGAAGTCTAGTGACTTCAAGCTCTCATCTGTTGAAGTTTCTAGTGACTTTATACTGTCATCTGTTGAAGTTTCTAGTGACATTAAACTCTCATCTGTTGAAGTCTCTAGTTACATTAAACTCTCATCTGTTTAAGTCTCTAGTTACATTAAACTCTCATCTGTTGAAGTCTCTAGTGACTTTAAACTCTCATCTGTTGAAGTCTCTGATGATTTTAAACTCATCCATTGAAATTTTATTGATTAAACTAATCTATTGAAGGTTGAGTGACTAAACTGTTACTGTAGAAGTATAGTAACTTTCAGCTTGGAAAGAACTTGTAATATTTAAAAATTTGTTTTACATTGCTTATACTTTTGTTGTTTGGGTAAAATACATTTGTATATACAGTTGGATATTTGTCTTTAGTTGATGTTGAAGAGATTTAAATCATTACCTTCAAAGTTTTTAAATAACAATTTCCTGAAGTTAGCATCGTAATGTTTATCAAAAGTTAGCATTTTGAAGGCTAGTGGGTTGTATTTTTGTATAGATAAAATTCAATTTTGTTTTTAATTTAACTACTAATATAAAAGCCGATCAAAAATGACAGGAAACCATTGTTGAATGGTTAACAAAAATTATAGAATTTAACTAAAACGAATTTGTTTGTACCTCCAAAATGCACCTGCTCTTCACTTATTTCATCAGTCAGAAAGTAATTCAACAAATCTTTAGTAAAAGCTACTCAGAAAAATGAAATGTTATCATGAACAAAAGTACGTGTGCACTTTGAAAGAAACTTAAATAGCACTCTTGAGCCTTTTCACTGTATTCTAGGTCAGGAAGTAGAAAATATAGTACGGACATTTCGACAAAAATTTTCAACTTTTTCGACTGTACAAAGGATAAAAGATATTTGGTAGTAATAAAATTTTTCGTTATGTATTAATGCCAAGGAGATAATATGTGTATTAAAATACCAAAAGAATATTTATATTGACAGCATAAAACTTTTTAAATGCTGACTCTGTAATGTTAGTAATAGTAGGCCTATTTGTAGTCTAATTTAAGCATTAGACATAAAATATAAATGTAACATAATACTTAACTGAAACACTACTTGGAAAATTTTCTTTTTCTTTTGGCTAAAACTCAAAGTAATAAAAATTTCTGAATTAAACTATTTTGCTGTTATCAAAAAATATAGAATAATAAAATAAACCTTTCTAACAAATCAACATGAATATTGAGCATTCAACATAAACACCATAGTTGGCCTAAGAACAATCAGGTGATAGTTTTTTTGCTAACCGATGGTGTATATTGTTGAGCATTACCAAAATAGGAGCATGAAAATGTTCTCGACAGAATAACAAAGGGAATAAGCCTTTTATAGTCGGTGATTAGCTTAAATATGTTGTTTAAAATCATAAATATTTCTCTGTTTAGGACTTGGTGTCTGAAAAAATTCGCAGTCATCAGATAACCAGCAATCTAGAACGACAAGCGATGTATCAACAGAATGATGACCTAACAGAATCTGACAGTGGAATGTAAGTGGAATGAATATGAAAATTACAGTTTTATTTGTTTATTGAATCTAGCATCTGTTCATTGTTTGTTTCATCATCTTCATAGATCTTGTTCAATGTTTAATAAAAATATTGGCAAAGAGAGACATTTAGTAAGAAGGTTTAATCACTTATTTGCACTTCATAAACAAGAAAAATAGTCAGTGTTAATAAATATTATTATGAAAGATGTGGTTTTGTATGTATAGATTAGATCATTTCTTATTTCATTTCTTTTCAGCTTCTGTAGGAATGATGAAGATGAGTCCACAAGGTATTTTACAAAAGAAATATCAGAGCTCAAAATCAGTATATGCAACTTAGAAAAGCAAGTAAGTTGATTAGAATTTAGAGTTTATCTGAATGTAAAAGCTTTTATTGAGTTTTGTATTTTTGTTTTATCAGAATGTCAGTTGTTTAGTTAGTATTAGTATTTGTTTAAGTTGTCTATCTGTTATTCATAACCTTGACAAATAAACTGAAATTCCGATACAATGTGTAACCTCCTCTCATATATAGCTTTCCCGACTCTGTGCTGCCCTCTGTATGCTAATCTTTTTGCTCGCAACTAGTCTTGAGACTCCCACCTAAACTCGTTTGCTTCCATGTGGTATTACTATATGTTACATGCAAATGAGCATGTGACAATCCTCCACTAATAGGAGTGTGACACACCCTTTTAGCACTGCTAACTCTTTGTATACTAATTGTTCAGTCATTACTTCTCGATTTGGCACTCATATTGAAATATGTTGTTGTTTCTTTTTGCATGTTAACTTTTCAGATATAGGCATTTTTTGTGGAAGTATCAATGAAAGCACTAACTATTGTGGAAATATTAAATTTGAATTTTTGTTTTCTATAATTTCTGCTCCTGTAGATTTTGTGGATTTTTCCATTCCACATTTAATTCAGAAGTGATAGTAACTTCCACTTTGTCTGGTGTGGAACAAGACATTGCTTACACAAGACAAACAACTAAAATTGCATCAGGTTTGTCTTTGTCTGTTGAGGACATGACAGCTGTTGTGCAAGAGGAATTGAGTATTTCATGTGAACTGGACATTCTTCTTAATGTGATACACCTCCTCCTATGTTTCCAGTTCATAACAAAGGGGATTTTGACAGCTTTTTCCCACCAACTGCCTTTGCAAAATCTTCTACCCATGCTATCGTGAATTTCTTTAGGCCTTATTTTTGTCATTTCGGGACATGGTTTCTTTGTTCTCTTTCTTAATTTTTCCCTGCTTCTGATTTTTATGTTTTTCTTTCCTCTCCACATATTCATGTCCATATTGGATTATTTTTATCTCAACTTTGCTCAGAGACAGTAGGGTCCCACTTAGCTTGGTTATGAACATTTTGGAGTACATTTATGGCTGATCATTGGGTGTTGTAGGTTTTGTCAAAGGGCCTTACCCCTTGGTTTTCTTCTTCTCCCGTTCCTTTTATTTTCTCTCCAAGGAATCCAGTTTCTCACCAGTGTATGTCAGTGGCATTGTCAGACCTATTGGCCAAAGCTGTTATCTTTTGGGATTCCCATTCTTCTTCAGGATTTCGTTCTCATATGTTGGTCATTCTCAAGAAAACTGGGGATTGGCATCTGGTTATAGCTCTTTCACATCTTAATCAGTTTCTTGACCTACCTCAATTTCCCATGGAGACTTTTCTCATCCTACAGTGGTCTTTTGCTCTGGGTCTTTGGATGACAAAGATGGATGTCTCACATGCTTATTTCCACATTCCAATTTCCTCTGCTTCCAGAATTTACCTTCAGTTTGTTCATCAAAGTCAGTTTTATCAGTTCTATGATCTCCTTTTTGACCTTGTGTCAGCCTTGCTTGTTCACATTCATGGCCTCAGATTGTGGTTCCACCATTATATGGACGACTTGTTTCTTTTAGCAACTGTCCCATCAGGCCTCCTACAGCCATACACTTCTCCTCCTTCAGGAGGCATCATCTCATACCCATTCCATATTTGGTTCTTTTGGGTGTGTTTTCAATTCTTATCACAGCAGAGTCCAGCCTTCTCTTCATTTGAGGGACATGGATCATTTGGTTTCCTTTGTTCTTACATCTCCTTCTATCCTTGCATGGAAGGATCTCTCTTTTGGGGACTTGGTCTTCCTTGAAATCTCTTATCCTCTTAGGCTATGTTCATATGCTCCATTTTCAGTGGACTCTGCATGATCAATGTAACCTCCTTTGGGATCTCTTGCCCTCCCTCATGCTTCTTCACTGCACACTGATATCATCTTGTGGCTCAACAGCACCAATAACACGGAAATATGTTCCTCTTCCTCCCTCTTGTCCAGATCTCCTTCTTTGTACAGATGCTTCTCTGATGGGTTGGATCACTGGTCTCAATTCTCTGGTTGTTTGGGGTCGATGATCTCTAGATGAATCATCTTTTCATATCACACTCTCCTGGAACTCTTGGCATTTAGTCAAGCTTATGAGTGTGTATAGCTGCTTAGTTATGTTACACATGGACAACTCAACTGTGGTTTACTATATCATTTGCCAGGGGGCTTTCAGTTTTACTCTTTCTGTTTCCACTCTCTCGACCTCACCTTCTTGATCCATTCTTTACAAATCTGACTGATGGTTTGTCATGTACCAGGTGACCTGAATCTTGTTGCAGTTCATCTCTTGAGAGCCAACATGATTTTTTCTCAGGGTGTGGTTCCTCAGTTCTCAAGTTTTCCAGTGGCTTTTTTTCTCATTTGGAGAGCCCTCTATTCATAGCCTTTGACACTTAACACCAAGCTTCCCCTTTTCTGGTTTCCTTTTATGCATATGTTGGTTCTGGCAGTGGATGCATTGAGTCAGGACTAGTCTGACATCCTTTTTTCTATGCTTACCTCCTATTCGTCTCCACCCTATTGTTCTCTTCTTCATTCAGGGTACTTTTTGGGGCACCCTATTGGCCATCTCAACAATGGTTTCCTCTGTCTAGTCTTCTACAGTCCTCTCTTCATCCTCCTCTATTCCATTGTTTTCTTCTTCAGCCTTGTTCCTCTCTCTTCCATTCAGCTACAATGTCACTTTGACTTCATGCATGGGATTTGTTTGGTCCCGTGCAAGATATTCCTTCTTTCTCATTCTGTTCACCTATTCTTCTTTTTTGTCTATCAGCTGCAATGGCATATTTATTGCAGTTGGTGACTGCATCACTCCTTCTTCCCTTCTCATCCCTCTGTTTCCCATCTCTTCAAATTCTTCACATGACTTTTTGCCCAGGGTTTATCGGTATCAACCTTTGCTGGTTACTTGGTAGTTTTCAAGTTATTGTCTAGTTTTTTTCCTCTCCAGTTCTCACTATGCTCTTCCATTCAGTGCGCCACCTTCATCTTTCCTGTCCATCTTGTTTTTCAGACTGGGACCTGAATTTTGTTCTCCATGCCCTTATCCTTCCTCCATTTGTACCTTTCACTTTCTGTTCTTTATTCCATCTCTCTGTTAACACCTACTTCCTCCTTTTCACCTGTGGTCATCAGTGTTTTGACATGTATAACATTGACTATTCACTCTTTCTTGTATACTCTATTCTGATTGAGCTTTTCTCCCTAAGATGTCTGCAGCATGTGAGGGTGACAATGCATTCGCTCCTTTCTCTCTCCTCTCTACTTCTCATCGCTATTTTTACTCAGATTCTGATCACCTACTCTGTCCTGACCATAAGGTCTGTTGTTATTTTGCCCACACTGCTCTGTTTTGTTGTTGTTGTTCCCATTCCTATCTCTTCATTACTTGGAATCCCTCTTCCACCTCTGATATTTCTCCCATTACCCTTACCAGATGGTTTCATCTGTTCAGTGTGTTCTTCATTGGATGGGGATTCTCATCAAAACTTCCAGTTGGCTTCTCATCAAATCAAGTATCTAACTTTCTACCAGCTACTCACTGGTGTTCTGCTCTTCTCCAGACTTCCAAATGTGCTTTCTCCTACTTTTCTTCTAGTGAAGCACAGGAGTACTTGCCACTCAACATTTCCTAGCTGCTCAGTAGAGAGTAGAGCAGAAGTGTTCTGTTGGTGAATACAGCTGGTTTTCCCCCCATCGTACCACTGCCCTAGTGTTGGGTTCCTGGATGGTCTGGTGTTGGATTGGTGCAGTACCAGCCAACATAATCTATCAGTCAGTTTACAGGGAGGATGTTACTTTTATACTCTACTTTACCGGGATTGAGGTGAAGATGGTAGGGACCCTCCTCCTACCATTGACCGAATGAAAAATACCTGATGCTGTCTGGTTTGAGCCACCATGTACAGTCTGATGTACCCTAGCCACAGTACACAAATTGGCACATCTATGATACTGATATGAATTCTGTACTGTGCTTGTTTTCTGCCTGATCTATAAACACATCTTTCTGAGCAAAGAATGTACTCTGATACGGGCAAGGTGGTCTCCAACATGTTTGCTCCTATACGGTTCCATAGTATAGGGTGTTGCACTATCATGGGTTTCCCTTTGGGCACTTCCCAAAGGAGGGTCATTGAGGTAAATTTTGCACCAGTCCCTCCACTACTTCAACATGGGCTTCTAGCTATGTGAGACAAGGTTATGTATTGTTCAGAAATTAACATTTTCCAAAACTGAAAATGTATTTCCAATAAATACCTTTTCTCACACTTCCCACTTGTCTTCTTCATTTCTGGTGTATCTTTTCGTGCCTAATCTCAAAATGGTGATTGAACGATCAGTATAGAGGGAGTCAATTGCACCCCTATTGGTAGAAGGTTGTCACATGCTCAATTGTGTGCAACAACACTGCAATATCATGTGGAAACATTTGAGTTTAGGTGGGAGCCTCAAGGCTAGTGGCAAACGAAAAAGTTTGCATATAGAGGGCAGCACTGAATCAGGAAAGCTGTATTAAAGAAGAGGTAAGTATCTATCAGACATATATTTTCAGTTTGGAAAAATGTTAGCATTGTTTATGAAAAAATATATTTAATTATTTTGATCTTTATTATCAAAAATAAGCTTAAAAATGTTTAATAATTAAAAACTAATTCCTGTTGAAGCACCTTTGTAAAGTAGACTTTCTGCATTAGAAGTCAGTTGGAATCTGAGCTTTTGGTGTATTAGGTTCCTTTAATTGTGATTTTTTTGTTCTAAATTTGTTAAGTTATCAATTGTTATTCAATTATAAGGAAAATGATTTATCGTTGTTTCTTAAATATTTAGCAGTTTTAAACAGATTCTTTACAGTAAAAGTAGGATGAACTGTTTCTGTGATAGACAGTTGACATAATTCTTGATGGTGTTTTATTACAGAACTCGTCTCTTATGGAGGAAAATGCAAGCTTACGTACTGAAGGAAGCTCCTTGAAAGAAAGTAATGCCAGTTTACAGTCTAAATTAGTATCTTTGGAAGAAAATGTCAGCCATTTGAACAGTCAGTACACCACACTCCAATCCCAGTATGCACGTTTGGAAGTTGAACACTGTCTACTCAAACTTCAGAAGGAATCTGTGGCTGTTCAAGTTTCTACCTTACAAGCACAACTAAACACTGCAGAAGATGAAAAAGAAAAGGTGATAAAACTTTAGCATTAAGCTCTAGGAAGCTTCTAGCAGTGATAACTTATTTTTTAAATATTTCTTTATCAAGTGGATGGTTGAAATACTTCTTTTGAGATTGAATCAGTATTATGGTTTACAATCCTGAAGTTTTTTATAAATCCCATCTGGGAGTCGAAATCGTTTTTAACTTATTTACGTTTTATTTTGTTACAGGCAAAATGAATTAAACTATCTACATTCCTTATTTAGTTTATAAGATTAAAAAATAATTTAAACACAAGATATTTGTGAGACTTTAAACATTTGCCCAAATAGCTTTATTTTTAACAGTGTTATCTTACCTTATGAACTCTTTAATTTGATCCTATTTGTGTGTGTGTGTATCTGACTGCATCACCATCATCCAGCAAGAAGTGTCTTTCAGTATTCAAAGTGTAAACAGTTAAATTTTAGTACAGACAATTTTCTATTAAGTTTTAATGAAGTTTAATCACATTGTTTAAAATACTTCATGCAATTTGGTTAAGTATTGCCAGTCTGAGAAGTATAAACACGGGGATGTCAGTGACACCACTCTGGTGCAAAAAGGGTTAATACAATCTTGAAAATAGTACTTAATCACAAGCTGTTTAACTGTTTTATCATAGCAATTATAGAAAAAACATTAAATTAAAAATGTTCAGCCTAAAATAGATTTGTATATTTTACTTAAGTATTGCTGGCTTTGGAATTTTTAGTTTTTTTATTCAAGTTACTTTATTTGATTTTACTTAATAATAACATAGTATAACAGGATATAGAATTGTTGAAAAAGACATCTTAACAAATTTACCTTTTGAAAACCAGGATGTTTAGGAACTTATTATGATACTCATAAAGAGTTTTTATTTTAAACTTTTGGTAAGATCTGGCACTCACTAAATTAAAAATTTTACATACGGGTAATTAGTATTTTATAAAATTTATATTACAGAGAAATATTTTTTCAGTTTTTTTAATTTTTTTTTATTAATTTTAGAACTTAAGCTTACCTTGTACTTCTTTGGGTGTTTTAGTATAGTTTATTTCTTAAAACAACTTAGTGTAGAAAATGAGCTTACCTGTTTCTATTGGCATGTTACAACAGGGACTCTATTAATTTTATAGTTGCAACAAGAAAAAAAAGACCTTCAATCAGTCCATGACAGCATCTCGTCAGATCACGAGACTCTTCAGAAACTTCATGATCAGTTAACAACAGAATATGAAAACCTTTCTTCAGAACACAATACCCTGAAATCTAGTCACAGAAGCCTGAAGTCTGATTTAGCTGCTCTAAAGGTTTGTTATTGTGTTTTTTACACAGAAACCTTAGGTCTGAGTTGATTGCTCCAAAGGTTCATTATCTTGGTTCTTTTAAAAAAGTTTGAAGTCTGTGTTATCTTCCCTAAAGGTTCATTATTTTCGTTCTTTCACAGAAACCTGAAGTCAGAGTTATCTACTCTAAATGTGTTTTTCATCGGTCAAATTTTACTAACTTAATTTGTGTAACTTGTACTTAGTTCTTGTTGCATAAAACTTTTATTGAGTTTGGATAACGGATAAATTATTTATGGTGTGGAAAAGTTGAAGCAGTTTGAAAAGTTTAATAATCTAAGAAGCGTAGATAGAACTTACTTGGTTGTTTCTCTTATTATTTGTGAATTTTTCTTCTTCACAAAAGTGTAACAAATCTTTATTCACAGGAAAGATCAGAGAAAGAAATCTTTTCACAAGAAGAACTGGAGAAGCTAAGAGAGATACTGGACCAGGAAAAACATCTTGTAGACAAGAAAAGTTTTGTTGACCTGCAGTGTAAATACTGTGAGCTGAAAGTGAGTGATGCATAAGTAATGTACAGTTAATGGTTGATATTCAGTTCCAAAGGTTAATCAACCAATTTTATATGTATGAAACATTTCTAGTACATGTTAAGAAACTGTCAAAGTATGTATAAATTTAAAAGTAATACCTGGATAAGAGATGTATGAATCTTAGAAAATAATCATGTAAGTAACTAAGTTTAATTATACTGTTTTATATTTTTGTTTGGGCATGAAACTTGTGACTGATTATAAATTACCATTCAATCTAAACGTGTTTATCAAATGAAATTATGCATTATTGGGCACAAGAAAACAAGATTATCACCGTAAAATAACAATTTTTAATTTACATATCATTACATCAAAATATGGACAG